ACAAGCATGACTCCAAGCTTCACTGCTCTCATTTTCATTCACCACCTTTCTCTCGTGTTGACCTTCCTGCCCTCAGCCTGCTGCACTATTGCATTGAAGCTCGACGTTAGCTTGAGCAACAACATTTCATCTTAGGGGCTTTACAGCCTTCCAAACTTAACGTGAATTTCAGCTGGTAAACTGTCGTTTTCGTATCTGTATTTTTCCATGTTAAAGTTTTTCTTTTGTTTTCACTTTCAGACAATAATGCACTTGCTCTTGACACATCTTTTTTGTTTCTTTTTTTTTACCCTGGGAGACTAACTATTGTCATTTAATTACACTGTCTTTGACTCTATCACGACCTTCCTTTGCCTCTGCTCCATACCCCTTGCTCAGCGCCTAATTACACTTAGTTCTGATCAAAGGTCATCAACCTGACAGATTAACTGTGTTTCTCTCTTCACAGATGCTGCCTAACCTGTTGAATATTTCCAGCATCTGCAGTATTATAATTTTAATGATTTTTTTGAGCCATTCCTTTCTCTTCATTATGCTTTAATCAACTTGCTATTTATGCACCTCATCTAGGCATGCAAAGAGTCACACCTCAGCATGTAGTCAAGAAACGATTCCAGCTCTTTTGCAGACGACTGCTTCACTAAGCTGGTACTACACTTGGATTTCTCTGAACTCCAGTCTCCCAAGTGCCCTGAGCTATATTTGCTGCTACTGGGCTTCCTTGAGTCCCAACTCTCAACTGCCCCCAACTCCTCAGAGCTAACTGCAGCATTTCAAGAGGCCTCCTCTTGCTCGTCACTGTCTCTGAATCCCAATCTTTCTCAGCTGTACCAACCATATATAGCTTGTGTCTTTCTCATGGCCACTCTCTGTTGCAATAAATTAACAGCTCCTGCGGTTGATGTTAACCCTAACTATTTAGGCCAAACAACAGCATTCTCAGCTGCAAGGATTTTTCTCTGACTGATTAAAAGCTGACTGTTGAACTGCTACCCTTAAACTGTTTTAAGTTATCTACTGGAACACTTTGAGCATCCCATGCTCATTGCTGTTGTGACAGTAGAATGACCTGTTCTTAAATGTTATAAGCTGCTAGTTTATTGAGCACAAATGAATTTTTTAAATGGATTTTATCACAAATATTAGTAACTTTTCCTTCGTTACTACAGGCAACTAGTTCTTCAAAGGTTTCTTACATATTCCAAGATTAGAGGCAGCATGGTGAATCAGTGGTTAGCACTGCTGCCTCACAGGGCCAGTGACCCGGGTTCAATTCCACCCTCCGGTGACTGTGCAGAGTTTGCACGTTCTCCCTGTGTCTGTGTGGGTTTCCTCCCACAGTTCAAAGTTTTGCAGGTTAGGTGGATTGGCCATGTTAAATTACCCATAGTGTCCAGGGTGTGCAGGCTAGGTGAATTAGCCATGGGAAGTGCAGGGTTACAGGGACAGGGTAGGGGGCGGTTCTGGGTGGGATGCTCTTCGGAAGGTCAGTGTGGACTCGATGGGCCAAATGGCCTGTTTCCACTTTGTAGGGACTCTTTGATTCTCTGTGACCTGCTTTTATAAATGCGTCTTGGATGTTCTTAATCAGGCCATGTTTCTCTGGTGAGATGTAATATAATCCAATCTAATTGTCAGGGAATTAGTTTTCCTATTCATGGGACACTTGCATCAGTACTAATGGAACAGGAGCAGGCTTCACCTGAACTATGCTGGGACCAGTTTTTCTGACAAGTCATAGAAGAGGACTTTCAACTAAATACTGGAAGGAAGGAATCATGAGAGGAGTTGTGATAAATCGCAGGAAAATGTAACAGATCAGGCTAATGGTGTGGAGAATGATTTAACTAGAATGTTAGCAGGAAGAGGCAGAGAGGACAAACTGAGGTATGACGCCAGCAGATATGGGTAGAGACTGCAAAAATGGCAAATGAAACATTAAATGCATGCTGTATTCATATCAAAGTGGATAAATTGTTAACCAAAATTGTAATAAATATGTATGATAGCCTTTATGGAGACATCATTGCAGGGTGACTAAGGCTGGGCCTTGGATATTTGACCTTTCAAAAAGTTAGGAATAATGAAATAGGTAGTGGGTTAGATTAGTTAATTATTTATGTCATTACTACAATAGTGATTCTTGATCATAGCTCGAAAAAGCGAGATCCAGAATCTGTTTGTTTAGATAAAAGACATAGGAGAGTTAAGAAGTCATTTGTGGGTTTGGTTTATAGGCCCTTTAATAATAGCTACACTGTTAGACCAAGTATATAGGAAGAAATAAATGAAGCTTGCAAGAGAGCTTGGATGATTTTCAACTGCATGTGGAAGGACAAATCAGATTGGCAAAGATAGCCTGGAAAATGAGTGTTTTAGAGCAGTATGTACTTGAGGCTATTCTTTGACCTGGTGCTGAACATAAGGACAGGATTAATCAATTAACCTCATAGTAATGGAGCCTTTAAATGCCCACCTCTTCTTCCGCTACATTGATGACTGTATCAGCGCTGCCTTGTGCTCCCACAAGGAGTTTGAACAGTTCATCAACTTTACTTACATCTTTCACCCAACCTCAAAGTCACCTGGACCATCTCACCTACCTTCCCTGATCCCACCCCTCCTCTCTATTTATCTCTGAGCTCCCTGCTCCCTCCCCATTTCTGAAGAAAGATCCCGATCCTAAACGTCAACTTTTCTACTCCTCTGATTCTGCCTGGCCTGTGTTCCTCCAGCTCCACGCTGTATGTTACCTCTGACTCCAGCATCTACAGTTCTTACTACCTCTGAGTGATTTATAATGTGATAGAATTTTGCATTCAATTTGAAGGTGAGAAGTGTGGGTCTGAGACCAGAGCTTTAAACCCAAACAAATGCTGCTATAAGGGTATGAAGAGTGCTAATTAAAGTGAAAAGGTAGAACACTGGAGATGTGGTAGGCTTTTAAGGAGATATTTCATAACTCTCAGCAAAGATTTGCTCCGCTGAGAAAGAAGCATCATCCATGGCTGAATAAGAAAGTTGAGAATAGTATTAAACTGAAAAAACACTGTACACCTAAGCAGAAAGTCTAGAGATTGGTCAGATTTCAAGCACTGACAAAGAATGAGTCAAAGAAAGTGGGACACAGTATGAGAAAGAGCCAACTAGTAATATACAACTATATAGTAATATAGGTAGGAAAGGGCAGTCTGTGGATGTGGTATACTTAGTTTTCCAAAAGGCTTTTGATAAGATACCACATCAAAGGTTACTGCACGTGACAAGGCACAAAGTCACACATTATCATGGATGAAGGATTGGTTAGCTAATAGCAAAGAAGATTCTGATTGGCATATTGTAACCAGTGGAGTGCTACAAAGATCTGTGCTGGAGCCTCAACTGTTTTATAGTGTACATCAATGTCTTGGATGAAGAGACCACATGTATGATAGGTAAAAGTGCTAATGGCACTTAGGTAGCTACAAAAGTATGTTGTCCAAACAATATAGAGAGTCTGCAAAGTGATATGAATAGACTAAGTGAACAAAAATTGGCAGATGGAATATAATGTGGAAAAATGTCAACTTGACAATTTTGGCAGAAATAATAGAGAAGCTACATGTTACTTAAATGCAGAGATTGTAGAACTCTGAGGTAGAGAGAGATCTGGATTCCTGATACATGAACCATATAAATATTATTACTCAGGAACAGCAAGTAACTTAAAAAGGAAATAGAATGTTGACATTCATTACAAGGGGAATGGCAATCAAAAGTGGGCAGATTTGTGCAGCCGTACAGGACCTTGGTGAGACTACATTAGAGTACTGTATACAATTTTGATCTTGTTCTTGGAAAAAGGATATAATTGCATTAAACCAGTTCAGAGAAGGTTCATTTGACTCATTCCTGGGACAAAAACCTGATCTTATGAAGAAAATTTAATGAACTGGGCCTGTACTTTTTGAAGTTTGGAAGAATGAGAGGTGTTCTTTTTGAAATACATAAGTGCCTGAGAGGGCTTGACAGAGTAGATACTGAAAAGATATTTCGTTTGTGGGAGAAATTAGAACTCGGAGAGACAGTTCAAAAATAGGTGAAGACAAATGAGAAGAATGTTTTCTATGATCGCTGCAAGTCTGTGAAGTTCTCTTCCCCAGAAAGCAGCGGACACTCAAATTTGTTTAAGGTTTAGTCTCAGTTTTGATAGATAAGAAATCCCAAATCATGGACAGGAAAGGAGTTGAGATCACATTAAGATCTTGCTGAACAGCTGAGCAGGCTCAAAATACTAAATGGCCTACTCCTACTTTTGTGTTCCTAGTACACCCTGATAGGTCAGTGAAAGCATGTCACTGAATGCTTGTTAGCTAAAATCTCTATTCATTAACTTTTAATTTTCACTGAACATTTCACTCGATCAATAATTCCATCCTTCTTCTGGAAAGGAGCTTGGCAGATGAAAAACAATTAATATAAAAGAAATTAATATAAAATCAGTATTCATCCACTTCTTAGGTTGATTTCTAGTTTTGATTTCAGCCTGGCTGATCTATTGTCAATCCGGTATCTCTCTCTCTCCTCTTGGGCCTTTTCATTAATGGAGATGTATAGGTAGCCCTGTAGTGCTTTAGTACAATCTTAATGTCTGTGAATGCCTAAAAGGTTGTGTAGTGCAAGTCTGCTGTCTTCCTTCGGCATTCAGACTTACTTGTCATCCGGATACAATATGACTTGTACTTTTAGTTCCGTTTTTTTGCCAGTACTGTTTCCTTACCTGCAGCTAACTAATTGCTGCATCTCCTCCTCGTGTACCCTTTCATTCTCATTATCTTTCTCTTCTGCCAAAACTGAAGCAAAATATTTCTTACTGCCTCTTCTGTTTTTGTTTCAGATTTTGTATTTCATCTTTAGGCTATGCCTAGAATAATATTGTTCCCTCAGTCTGTAACTTCAGTAAATTGTTATGGCTGATGGGAGGCAAACTCTGAACAGTGACTGGTTATTTCTAATTGTAGGGTCTTAGCCTGAAAGCAGTTCTACAGTTTGCTGCTTCTCAGAGAGTGGTGGCATCATCCAGAGTTATCCAGAAGCACCTGACCCGGTTAATGTCAGGTAAGTATGGCTAAGCATGCAAACCTTTCATGTGCATTGAGCTGAACAGATGATGGTGAATGCAGTTGAGACAAATGATCAATGTAACATGTTAAGGAGGAATTTGATTTAAGCATTGGTTTGAATTTCTACCAGACAGATGGAATAATGCTCTCTGAGTACCATATAAAATTGATTTTTGGCCAAGTTCCCTAGGACACACACTGAGCTTAGAAAAGGGAAAAGTTTGTGTTTATACAGAACTCTTCAACAATTCTGGCCACTTCACAGTGCTTCACAGCCAATGAAGCACTTTTGAAATGTAGTCACTGTTGTAATACAAGAAATATTGAAGCCAATTTAGACAAAGCAAGATCTTACAAATACCAGTTAGCTAATAACCCAATAATATGCTTCAGTGAAGTTGGTTGAGGGATAAATATTTTCCGACAAGAATGCCCCTACTGCTCTTTGAATAGTACTGTAGGATTTTCACTAGGCTGGTTCCTAATATAAGGACTTTGTCTTATGAGGAGAGGTTGAGCCTATGCCCATTGGAGTTTAGACAAATAAGAATTAAAAGATGGAAGACTTTGAAGGGGAACGATAAGATAGCTGCTGAGATGATGTTTCCTGATGGGGGGGGCTATCCAAAACTTGGGGATACGGTTTAAAAATAAAGGGTCTCCCATTAAGATCAAGATAGTAACAAAAAGCATAGGACTTAGGAGCAGGGGTAGGCTATTTGGCCTTTTGAGCTTTCCCCACTATTCAAGAAGATCATGGCAGATCGGATTAGGATCTTAGTTTACTCTACTGTCTACTACCCAAGGGTGTGCTCTTGTTCATAAACTGTGTCACCTAACTTTAGTCTCTCCCACAGAAGTAAACGCTTTTGCGTATTTATTTTCTCTAGTGCCCTAAGATGAGAAGGAATTTATTCACTCGGAGGATCGTTAAGTGTTTGGTATTCTCTTCCACAGACAGCTTGAAGTTTGGGTCACTCAATATATTCAAGGTTGATTTGGACAGATTTTTGATTGACCAGGGACACCAGGATTAAGGACACAGCCATAACAGTAAATTCAAGTCCAAAATCAAATCATCCATGATCTCATTGACTGGTGGAGTGGGTTGAGGAGTCCAAATGGTCTACTGCTGCTCCTATTCCTTGCATTCAGCCTAGTCAAATTCCTTTGCACTGCTTAGGGGATTTGACAGGATAGATGTGAAAAGGTTGTTTCCCCTTGTGAAGGAATCTAGGGCCAGAGGGTATAACGTCAGAGTAAAAGGTTGTACATTTATAACAGAAATGAGGAGGAATATCTTCTTGGTGGTAGTGAATCTGTGGAATTCTTTATCCCAGAGGGCTATTGAAGCTGGGTCATTAAGTATTTTTAGGGCTAAGACAGACAGATTTTTAATCAGTAAGGAAATCGAGGGTTATAGGAATAGCAGGAATATGGAGTTGAAGATTATCAGATCAACAATGCCAGAGCAGACTTGATAGGCTGAATGGCCTACTTATGTTGCTACATCTTACGATCTTAAATAATACAGTAAAATTCATATTACTAGAAATAAATAAAACTAAAAGTATGGAAGTTCTTTGTTTCTGTCATAGATATGTATTTCATACCCTTTTTTGTTACATATGCATCCAGGTTAGATACGTTATGCATTGCCTTTATTGAAGTCTTTAAGATAATGCAAAATGTCAGTGCAACATCAAATGTAAATACAACCATGTCTACTAATTTCCATGATATCTTGGTTCAATTCAGAAGTAAGAAGCAAAATTAGTAAATGGAGATTGAAATTTTCAGTAAAATTTGACCATCTATATAAATTTGTGTCTGGATGCATACAAACAATACTCAAGCATGTTATTTTTTGTTGTTTTCAGTTTTGCTGAACTTTAATCATTTGACTTATCATATTGAAAGTAACTTTAAATAATTCAGTTAAACGAGTTTGCCATCCTTCTGATAATCAACCATTCACTTTGGCCAAGAAAAGTATTTTACAGTATCTGATTCTGTGTTTTGATTTCTAGTTTTTCTGCCTCATCTGGATGTTGAAGATACTTGGTCAATCCTGGATATTGACTTTTTCCACCTTTTGGTATGTTTATGATTCATGGCATTTGAGAAGAATAATAGTTCAACTAATTATTTCTTTCATTTTAATATCAAAAATTTCTGAATGATTCTGAATCATATCAGGGAACATTTTCTTCATTTGGTGTAGTGGAAATTCTTATCCTAAAGATCTATTAAGCTTCTGGATCATTTGAAAGTTTCAAAGTTGAAATTGATAGATTTTTTGTTGGGGGGGTGGATACTAGGAATATGGGCCAAAAGTAGGTAATTGGTGTTAAGGCACAGGTCAGTCATGATCTAACTGAACAGTAAAATAGGCTTGAAAGGTTGATTAGTCGTCTTTGTGTTACATTTTGAGATTTGAGCATTGACAGAATGTCTTTAAATAGACTACATCCCCTAGGAAATGATGCTTCCATCCATGTCTGGAGCTTGCTGAGTTAACAATTATGATTTACTTGTGATTTTAACTACCAAAGATCAAATAGGTTGCCCAACTTGTGCTCTGCAAAGTGGCCAGATGGATGTATATTACCTAAAACTAGCATCATATTTAGAAGTATCAAGTGGGGTGATACAGTCATTATAAGTTGTGGTGAGAAGCTATGACTACTTAGAGTAAAGAGTAAACTAATAGTAGTTCAGCCAAAAGATAAAATCCATCCACAAGTCTAGAATCTACTCCAGGTTTGTTGTATGATGAGGCTTTTGGATTACAAAGATCTTGATAGTTCTCTATGATGTACCAATATTTGTATCTGCTTTAACCATAATGCAGATGTCAGCTCAGCATGGATCTATTTTTTAATCTAATTAACAGATTTCCTTACCTATTGCAATCTCTTAGGATCAAGAATTATTTGCTTTCACTTTGTGTTGCTGGGGTCTGAGATAGTTGATGTGTCTGGTGTGCAATCTACAAACCTGAACTCTCCAAGCTCTGAAACGTGGGGAGTGAGTGTTTGATGGGTCAGGCAGATGAAGTGCTTTGAGGTCTGTGTGCCTTCTCCAACATTATGCTCCTGACAAGTTCTCAATGTGTTCATTGCCTTCTGCATTAAGCCTTAGAATGGTCCAGTTGATAGAATGGTGCAATATTTCCAATATTTTCATTTTCTGAAGCAATATATTGGGAAACGGACTAGGAAAACAGCTGTTTAGATTTAGCGTTATGTAATGAGGCAGGATTGATTATTAATGTCAAAGTAAAAGATCTCCTGGGAAATCATGATCATAATACAAGTTAAATCCTCAATTAGTGTACTCACACCATACTTCAGTCACAAACAAACTAATTATGTAAGCATGCAGGGAGAACTGTTAAGTTTGATTAATTACATAGATTAAAAAGTATGGTGATAAACGAACAGTGGAAAATATTTCAAGAAACTTTTTAAAATGTTCAACAAAAATATGTTCCATTAAAGAAAAAGCTCAGCAAGAAAGATTCATTTGTGACTCAAGAAGTCAAAGGTAGTATTAAGTTAAAAGAAGAGACTTATTAAGTTGCAAAGAATAATAAGGGCAGGCAGTGGCCTAGTAATATTATCGCTAGACTATTAATCCAGAAACTCCGTTAATGTCCTGGGGACCCAAATTCAAATCCTGCCACAGCAGGTGGTAGAATTTGAATTAAATGAAGAATTTGGCTTCAGTAAAGAATTTGGCATTAAGAGGCTAATGATGACTGTGAAACCATTATCAATTATCAGAAAAACCCACCTGGTTCACTAATGTCACCTGCCATCCTAATCTGGTCTGGCCTACATGTGACTCCAGACCCACAGCAATGTGCTTGACTCTTAACTACCATCTGGGTAATTGGGGACGGACAATAAATGCTGGTCTGGCCAGTGACACCCACATCCCATGAGTGAATAAAAAAAATGTAACAGGTCAGAGGATTAGGAGTATTTTATCAACTAAAATTAGCATATAAAATGTGATTTAGAGGAGGTAAAAATGTACATTAGCCAAGAATATAAAAACTTTTACAGCTGTAAGAAAAAAAATGTAGCTATTGGTTACTTAAAAGCAGCGACAGGAGAAATTGTCGTAGGGAATAGGAAAATGACGGGTATTGAACAAATATTTTGTCTGTTTTCAGAAGAAAACACAAGATGCATACCAGAAACATTAGGGCCTCAGGCCTAAAATAGGAATATTTAATATCAGCAGAGAAAAAAATATTGGAGAAGCCTAACAGGCTAAAATCCAAAAAATCCCTAGAAATGGATAGCTTCAGTTTCCAAAAGGGCCAGCTATAGAAATAGCAAATAGATCGGCTATGAGTCTCCAAAATTCCTTAAATTTGGAATAGTGTCATTAGTTTGGAAATTTGCATATGGAACCGTGAGATGTCGGAATATAATTAGGCCATTTGGCCCATTGAGTTGGCACTACCATTCGATCATTGCTGATAAGTTCCTCAACCACATTCTCCTGCCTTCTTCCCATCATCTTTGATCCCCTTACTAATCAATAACATATCTGCCTCAGTCTAAAAGCTGAGGTCAATGATTTGGCCTCCACATCCTTCTATGGCAATGAGTTCCACGGATTCACCACCCTCTGGTTCATTCCTCCTCATCTCAGTTCTAAAGGTTCATCCCTTCACTCTGAGGCTGTGCCTTCAGGTGCTAGTCTCTCCTACTAGTGGAAATATCTTCTCCATATCTACTCTATCCAGGCCTCTCTGTATTCTGTAAGTTTCAGTGAGATCAACCCCTCCTCATCCTTCTAAACTCCATTGACTAGAGAGCCAGAGTCCTCAGACCGTCTTCATATGACAAGCCCTTCATTCCCAGAATCATTCTTGTAAACCTGCTCTGGGCCCCCTCCGATGCCAGCACATCCATCCTTCGATACAGGGCCCAAAACTGCTCATGATGTACATCACTGCTCTTGTCTTCTAGATCTCTCAAAAATGAATGTTAACATTGCATTGGCCTTAATTGCTAACTGAACTTTAACACATCAACCTTGCAAGTCCTGGCTCGGGATTCTGTTAAGTTGCTTTGTGTTTCAGATTTCCAAAGCCATTCCCCATTTAGAAAATAGTCTGTGCCTCTATTCTTTCTCCCAATGTGCGTAGCTTCACACTTGCCACATTGAATTCCACCTGCCACTTCTTTGCCTGCTCTGAGGCTGTCCAAGTCCTTCTGCAGCCTCCCTACTTCCTCAATACTACCTGCCCCTCCACTTATCTTGTGTCATAAAAGGAGCATGAGAGAAAATTGGTAAGAACAGGCCAGTTACCCTGAATCTGTGGTTGGGCAAGTGTAAGAATCTTTTATTAAGGGATGCTTAACAATTTTCTTAGAGAAAGTATGGAAAAAGTATTTTAAAAAATCAATCTGGTTTTACTAAAAACAAATTCTTTTTGACAAATTTATTCGACTTTTTTGAAGATGCTTGACAAATCTATTGGAACTTTGAGGATGTAATTTGTAGAGTGATGAGGGGAGCCAGTGGATGTGGTTTCCTTGGACTTTCAAAAGGCTTTCAAATAAGATCTTGCGTAAAAGATTAGCATGTAAACCTCAAATGCAAGGGATAGGGATAGCGTACTGAAACAGATAGAAACTGATTGACAGACAGGAAATAGAGTAGGAATAAATGGGTCTTTTTCTGAGAGACAGCCAGTGTCTGCCGGGTACCGCAGGGATTAGTGCTTGGACTCCAGCTATTCACAATATATATTAATGATTTAGATTAGGGAATTAAATGTAATATCTTCAAGTTTGCAGACAACACAAAACTGGGTGGGAGGGTGGAGAGTGTGATTTGAACAAATTAAGTGAGTGGGCAAAAGCATGGCATATGGATAAATGCGACATTGTCCACTTTAGAAGCAAAAACAGGAAGACAGTTTATTTTGAGTGGTGATAGATTAAGAAGGAGGAAGGTGCAACAAGACCTGGGAGTCTTCATGCACCATTTGCTGAAGATATATGTGCAGGTGCAGCAGGTGGTGAAAAAGGCAAATGGTATGTTGGCCTTCGTTGTGAGAGTGTTCAGGTACAGGAGCGGGGATATGTTGTTGCAATTGTGCACGGCCACGGTGAGACCACAGCTGGAGTAATATGTGCAGCTTTGGCCTCCTTATCTGAGGAAGGATGTTAGAGCTATAGAGGGAGCGCAACAAACTAGTCTGATTCCTGGGTGTCAGGACTTACATACGAAGAGCGACTGGATCAGTTAGGACTATATTCACCGGTGTTTGGAATAATGAGACGGTATCAAATTCGAACAGGACTAAACATGCAAGGATGTTCCTGATGACCAGGAATCATGGTCTAAACATTTGGGGTAGGCCATTTAGGACTGAGATGAGGAATTTCTTCACCCAGAAAGTGGTGAGCTTGTTAACTCTCCGCTACAGAAAATGGTTGAGGCCAAAACATTAAATATCTTGAAGAAGGATTTAGATGTAGTTCTTAGGGCTAAAGCGATCAAAGAAATATGAGGAGAAAGCGAGAAGAGGACACTGAGCTGCATGCTCAACCATGGTCATATTGAATGGCAGAGCAGGGCCAAATGGTCAATTCTTCCTATTTTCCATGTTTCCACGTAACATGGAGGGTCAGTGAAGAGAAATCAGTAGATGATGTGTACAAGATTAGGACTCATGGAGTTTGGGGTGATGGCATTGGTAAAGATTGGCGAATGGATAGAATTGCGCAGCAAAAATGTATAAACAGGGCCTAGAGCGCTGGAAAGATTGGTGGTGGGGCCTTGGCTATTTACAATTTATATTAATGACTTTGGCAAAAAGTTTGTTGAAGATACAAAGCTAAGTGGAATTGTAAACTCAAATGTTTTAAAGTGATGTAGACAGGGGTAAGTGAATGAACAAGAAGATGATAGATGAAATATGTATGAGGTTATTCACCTTGGCCATAAGAACAGATGAATAGTATTTTTTGAAAGGTGTGAAACTTGTAAATGTTGATTTTCAGAAAGACTTGAGTACTCAAACAAGAAACACCACAAGTTAGTATGCAGGTAGAGAAAACAGTTTGGAAGGCACATGGCATGTTGACCTGTGTTGCAAGGAAATTGGAATAAAGAAATAACAACTTTTGCTACAATTGTGTGGGACTTTGACAGCACATTTGGAATACTGTGTAATGTTAGATTTCCAGTTTCCATATTTAAGGAAGGATATATTTGCATTGGAGGCAGTGCAATAAAGGTTCACTAGGTTGATCCCTGGGATAAGAGGTTTATCCAATGAGAGGTTGAGTAAATTGTCTATATTCTCATTCAAACCCCTTCAGAACCTTGTACATTTCATATGTTAAGCACTAAAGTTTGTTCCACTAATCAGGGAATCTAAAACTATAAGGGATCATCTTTGAGGACTGAGATAAAAATAAGCTCACTCAAAGGGCTTTGAATCTTTTGGAGTTCTCTATGACAGAGGGTTGTGGATGCTCCATTGTTTAGTATATTTAAGACTGCAATGGACAGTTTTTTTCGGGACTGTATGGACTTGAAGGATAAGGGGAGCAGTCAAGAAAGTGGGGTCGAAGCCGGAGACTAGCTTTAATCATATTGAGCTGTTGACTGACTACATGTTCTACTCTTGCTCTTATTTCTTGTTTTCCTAAATGACCTTCTCCGTTTTGAATGGTTACAGGCCAGAGACTCCAGTAACTCAGCAAGGATATTTGATAATTTGAGGAAGTCTCGAGGACTCCCTTAAAATGTTTCCATTGTTCTGGTCTCTTGCTGTGACTAGTTGCTTCAGGAGGTTGAAAGCAAATGTACAAATACTGTCCCAGCCAGCTGAGCATTTGATGCTAGGCAGTTTGGCTTTGGAGAGAACGCTATTGTTGGACTGCCTTTTATTTGTAGAATATCGTGAAGTCACATTGCCACTTCTCCAATGTTTTGAGGTGCCCTTTTTCTAAATTCTTTCATGGCCTCTAGGTTTTGTTGCTGATACCTACTTCCCCTTGAGAACTAAGTGGTTTGCTTGGCCATTTCGGAGGTCCAGTAAGAGTCAGACGCATTGCTGTGGGTTTACGTGTGGGCCAGACTAGGTTGGAATGGCACATAGCCTTCCCTAAAAGGCATTCGTGCAAAATGGGTTTGTTGGCAAACAAGTACAGTTTTATGATCACCATTGCTAGCTTCCAATCCTAGATTTTAAAAAAAGAGGTTTTGTTTTTAAAATAAATTTGTCTTCCACCATCTACTGTGGCATGGGATTTGAACCTGTGCCACCTGGATCTCTAAATTACCAATCCATTGGTATTACCACTATGTCAATGTCTCCCCGCCTTGCTGTAGGTTGTCCATGTTTCTGAAGTACACAGATGCACAGGGATTACTGTTGCCCAGGAAACCGCAACCTTAATCTCTGGTTTGAGATCCTAGCCCTCAAACACTCTTCTCAGTCAGTTTGACATATTGCAGGCGGTGATGATTTAATCATATCTTTCTGCATTCTTGGAGAAGTGACTCCCAAGATATGGAAAATGGTCCATATTTTCCAGGATATGGTCACCGTTGATGCAACAGGAGAACAAGTTGCACTATGTGCTAGTTGGAAAATGACCTTGGTTTCCTGGGCATTACATTAAAGGCCCGTTTTCTCATTCTTCAGAGGAGGTGAAGGTGACCTTCTCACTCAGTTTCTGAGTGAGTGCATGAACAAGCATTATCTGCATATTGAAGCTCAGTGTTGGAATGATGTTGGTTTTGAATTGAAGATGGCGTAAATCGAACAGTTTGCTGTCTCTGCTTTTTAAAAATGTCTCTATGGCTGGCAGTAATTTACATTAATGATTTATGAGAAAGACATGAGTCTTTCATCTCTTGTACTGAAGAGGAAAACTGTGTTGATAATTGAAATGTCATAAGTAACCCCCAGTCTGTAGAGTTGCCCTGTTCCACCAAACAATCTTTGACCTCATTCAGGAACACAGGCAGTATTAATAATAAAAGTAACACAGACCCAACAAAGGTGGTCAAGTAATTGACACTGAATATGTGAATGGCTATGATAAACAGTATCTATGAGCCACCCTTTCCCTTCCTTCCCCAAAAACCTGGCCACATAGGTAAGCAGATTCCCTTAAAGATGAAGGTCGCTGAATCTCATTTTTAAATTTCATTTACTTCCCTTCCATCTGTGGCACAAAATATCGGTTTGATTTTTGTGATTGGTAATGAGTTTATATTTCACAGGTTAAATTGCAAGTTAGCCTTTCAGTTTGTTGCATCTGATTTCGATTTCAGGTAAGCCTAGTTCTAGCATTTCCTTCATTGTATTGGGAGGAGACTGTGGAGCTACAACCTTCAGACATCAGCTGTGCCTTCAACAACCTCTACCTCTTCCATCTGGTCACCATGGCACATATTGTGCAGATACTTCTTACCTCGACAACAGGTGAGTGATGGAGTTCAATCTGGATAAATGTGAGGTTTTGCATTTTGGTACAACAACCGAGGGTAGGCCTTAAACAATTAATGGTAGGGCCTTGGGTATTGTTGCAAAACAGAGGGACCTAGGGGTGCAGTTACATAATTCTTTAAAGTTTGTGTCACATAGGATGGTTAAAAAGGCATTTGGTACGCTTGCCTTTATGCTCAGTCATTTGAGTATAGGAGTTGGGAAGTCGTATTGAGGTTGTACAGGACAGTGGTGAGGCCTCTTCTGGAATACTGTGTCCGGTTCTGGTCATCAGTAATAGGAAGGACATTATTAAGCTGAAGAGAGTTCAGAAGAGATTTACCAGGATGTTACCAGATATGGAAGGTTTGAGCCATAAGGAAAGGCTGGATAGGCTGGGACTCTTTCAGTGGAGCATAGGAGGTTGAGGGGCAACATGAGAGAAGTTTATAAAATAATGAGAGGTACAGATAGAGTTAATGGTAGTTGTCTTCCCCCTAGAATGGAGGATTTCAAGACTAGCCGGTACATTTTTAAGGTCAGAGGAGAGAGATTTAAAAAAGGCTATCAGGGCAAATTTTTTACACAGAGTGGTTCGTGTGTGGAATGAACTTTCTGAAGAAAAGGTAGATGTGGGTACAATTACAATGTTTAAAAAACATTTGAATAGGTACGTGAATAGAAAAGGTTTGGAGGCATATGTGCCAGGAGCAGGCAGGGGTGATAGTTTAGGAACAAAACCAGAAGTTGCTGGAAAAGCTCAGCAAGTCTGGCAGCATCATGAAGTAAACTCAAAGTTAACGTTTTGTGTCCATTGAACGTTAACTCTGATTTTTCTTCACGGATGCTGCCAGACTTGCTGAGGTTTTCCAGCAACTTCTGGTTTTGTTCCTAATTTATAGCATCCACAGTTCTTTTGGTTTTTATTTGGAACTAGTTAGTTTGGGATTATGTTTGGCATGCACTGGTTGGACTGAAGCATCTGGTTCAGTGCTTTATGACTCTACAATACTTCATCGCAGGTAGCAAGCCAACATAATCTACAGTTTCGTATTCACAAAATTAATGTGTTATAATCTAAATAACTACCTCTACATCTATGTACTGTAACCAAACAAAATAGTGTAGCACTGTGGCAAAAGAGCAGTTGGCACGTGCGTGGTGGGCCAAATGGCTGCCTCTTGTGCTGCGTGATTCTATGAATGAGTTTCTCTGATTTCCAAGAAATAGTAATTTAAATGTACATTCAGGGAAATGTTCTAATCCCATTTCTCATGTACCTTTTCACAGTTGTTTCTCAATTGGGTGCTTAATATAAGAGTTGAAGCTTGGCAATATTGATATTTTCCAGGTCTGTTCTGACTGCAGTAGCAGCCAATTAATGTTTGTGTTTTGAAGCACTGCAGTTCCTCTAAGTGCCATGAATCTGATATCCTATGAAAAGAATAATGTTGATAAATGTATCATTGGATTCAAGGGACAAGAGCCAAGTCTAGTGGGATTATCACTGGACTGTTAATCCAGAGAGCCAGGTAATGTTCTGGGAACCTGGGTTCAAATCCTGCCAATGCAGATGGTGGAATTTGAATTCAATAAATATCTGGAATTAAGAGTCTAATGATGACCATGAATCCATTGCCAATTGTTGGAAAAGCCCATCTGATTCACTAACTTTAGGGAAGGAAACTGCCATCCTTACCTGGTCTGACCTACATGTGACGCTAGACCCACAGCAGTGCGGTTGACTATTAACTGCTCTCTGGGCAATTAGGGATGGGCGATGAATGCTGACCTAGCTAGCGATACCCTCATCCCATGGATGATTTTTTAAAAAGTGAAGTTCATGGTTTTTAGATTAACAGTTAGTGTTGAGTCTGCAGGCAAAGTCAGAAATTTTTTTGCCTGTCTGCTTTGTCACATGTTTAAAAATGATTCTATAGTGTTTTAAGTGGAGGGTCTTATCCCAGTATCGAGGTCAACGTTCCTTCTTTGCTGAAAATGAGATATACTCAACATTAAGACACTACGACTAGATGGCAAGATTACAGATCAGACTAAATAAATTAACTGCTGTTATAGTTGAGCATGTAACATTTTGAAATCCTGTGAAGAAAGCTCCGTGGCCTTAGGTAAAGCAGCACACCTGGCTGCTGTTTGCAACCCAAAATATATTACTATTTTTATGTATACAGCTGTAACAAATTGGCAGAAGCTAGTACAAACCTATTTAGGATGTTCCCTGGTGTATTTGTGGTACTAAAATAGCACACTCTGAACACTACCCCATTCTCTAATTATAGTGCCTTGTACTTGATGTACTTTTTGCATTTGTAACTTCCGTGTAAGAACGTAGTTGATTGTTTACTTAGGCACAAAATACCATGCTAGTAAGATATTTAGCAGCGAGTACATAATAAAGCAACAACTTGCATTTCTGTAGTGCCTTTTTAATTATTAAGCTGTCTTGAGGCCCATCATGGGACTGGAATCCAACAGAAGTTGACACCCAGTCAAAGAAGGAGTATTAGAACAGGATGATCAAAAGTTTAAAGCAGCATCTTAAGGAAAGAGAAAGAGAGAGATTGAGAGGTGGAGAGATTTACGGCGAGAATTTCTGAGCTTGGGGGCTAGGCAGTTGAAAGCGCGATCACAGTGGTGAAATAAAAAGTAGTGGTGTTTCTTTGGTGAGGACAGAGTTGGAGAAATGCAGCATCGAGATTCTGAGCAAGTCTTCTTCATCGTCAGCAACCACTCACTAATGAGCGTGATTATCCACCAAGGAAATTCCTGAACAAATATGGATTCATAATAGAATGAGAACAAACTAAGAATATGAAAGTGGATTGCAAGTATAAAAAAAAGAAGAGGAGCGAAGTGTGCGTTCAAATCCCACCACGGAATCTGTCGATTTGTTCATAAATTCAGTTAATTAATTAAAATTAATTTCAGAATGGGAAGTTAGTTTCACAGCAGTAGTATTAAGACTGTCATCAATTTGTTGGGAAAGCCTATCCCTAATGTCCTTTAGGGAAGAAAATCTGCTGATTCCAGACCCACAGCAATGTGGTTCATTCTGGACTACCCTTTGAACTGGATAAGCAAGCCACTTTGTACGAAACCACTACAGGAAGGTCAAAAAGTAACAAACCTTTGACTTAGATACCAGAAACAACAAAGGCGTACCCAGCCCTGTTGTTTCTGCGAAGTCCTAGGAGCTTGTGCCATATCCCACTTCACCAATCCTGCTCACCTATCACCTCTGTGCTTGTTGACCTTCAGAAATGCTCATCATAGTTTTTGCATGTCCATGGTCTTGTTCATCCTGCTTACTGTAATTCTTTCTATACCTCAAAGCTATCTCCACTTCTCCAATTCTGGCCTCTTGTGATAAAATTCCTGATTTGATTTGCTGCAGTTTTGGCAACCATGATGGCAGCTGTTAAGGCCAGAAGCACTGTAGTTCCTCCCCAAAACTTCTTCACTTTCCTCCTTTTAAGCTACTCTAAAATCTACCTCTAACCAAGCTTTTTGTCACCTAATACCTTTTGTGACTGTGTCCAATTTTGTTCGGTAATGTTTTTGAGATATTTTACTCCATGAAAACTGCTATGTCACTGCAAGTTACTGTGTGAATTGTTCCTTGTGTGGGGGAGAGTAGGGCCTCTGGAGTTTTGTATGACTGTAGGAAGGTGGGAGGGCAGCCAAGGCAGAATTGAACAGCTCAGTCAGGAATAGGTAGGAATAGATCTTGCAGTCCATCAGCTCACTGACTATTCAGTTCTGGAATTCAAGTTTGTAACTTCTCTCAATGTGTAGTAACTAACTCTTCTCTCTGCTTCTATAATATAACTTGGGTAGTCTTCAATGAGTTTTAACTGGGGTATAGGCTCATAGCACCAAGAGAATTGCATGTGCCTAAAACAAAGTGTTTGACATGAATTAATTTTAAATAGAAATATAGTAGCCAACATCATTTCATTTTTGGGGATAGTAAGAACTGCCAATGCTGGAGTCTGAGATAACACTGTGTGGCAATGAAAGAACACAGCAGGCCAGACAGCATCAGAGGAGCAGGAAAGCTGACGTTTCGGGTTGGGACCCTTCATTTTTGTTTTGTTGCTTCATGCAGCATGAAGCAATTGCGTTCTCTCTCTGTATCCCTGGCACATTGCTGCTGAGACTGCATTCTTTTGTTGTAGGATTGTTTTGGTCTAGCTGACTAAATTGACCTTTAAGTAACCACTAAACTTGCATGGAAGCTTTCCTTTGTTTTGCTTTATTTGGTTTCCTTTCTGAACTGAAAGAAATGTTTTACCTCGTGATACCCATTTGCTGCAATTCAAGGCACCATTGTTTAATGCAATGCTGTTTTATTCCTGAGCAGGTTGTCCTATGGAGCAGGATGGAGAGGAGACTGAGGAGTCTCAGTCTGCAGCAGAACTGTATGAAACTCTTCGAGAATACACGAGCAGGTAAGCAAAAAAGTAAAGCTGCTTGCTGTAATATAACTTCCTAGTCCCTGATAACTTTCAACAGGCATTTTTTTTCCAAGCTGGGCTTGGTTAGCAGCCCGCTTGGTTACTAAATCTTAAATGTTGCTGTGTGCCTTATTAAAAACGATGTATGATACTAAGCCACGTGAATATAGTCAAATGATCAAAAGCTGGGTCAAAGAGGTAAGTTTAAAGGAGTTTCCTAAAGGAAGAAAAAGAAGTACAGAGGCAGCAAGGTATAAGGAGGGCATTCCATTTCTTGTGATCACTACCTGTGATGGAGAGATCAGATTGGGATTTCACAAGAGATCTGAAGATCTGACAGCATGGTGGCTCGGTGGTTATCACTGCTGCCTCACAGCACAAGGGACCTGGCTTCAATTCCACCCTCAAACAACTGTGTGTGGAGTTTGCACATTCTCCCACTGTTAGCGTGGGTTTCCCCCAGATGCTCCGGTTTCCTCCCACAGTCCAAAGATGTGCAGGTTACATGGATTGGCCATGTTAAATTGCCCATAGTGTCCAGGGATGTGCAGGCTAGGTGCGTTAGCCATGGGGAATGCAGTTGCATGGCTAGGGTAGGGTGGTGAGTCTGGATGGGATGCCCTTCAGAGGGTCGGTGTGGACTCAATGGCGGAATGGCATGCTTTCACTCTGTAGGGATTCTATATTAAGAGGGGCACAGAGATCTCAGAGGGCTGAGAGGCTGGACATTCTTCCAGAGGTAGGGTTTTCAAAATAAGGATGAGAATCTTAAAATCATCAAGCTACTTAATCAGGAGCATAGGAGTGATGGGGAAAGGAACTTGCTGCAAATTAAAACACTGGAAGCAGAGATTTGGATGACCTCTGGAGAGGAAAATTTGGGAAACCAGGTAGGAGTGCATTAGAATAGCTGAATCTGCAGGTAACAAAGCCGTGAATGAGGCAGTGATCTGAGATGGTGGAGTTGAACGATAGAGGTAGAACTAGATAGTTCTAGTGCTGAAACAGACGTGGGTTTGAGATCTCATCTCAAGATCAAATGCGGCACTAAAATTGGGAATAGACTTTTGCCAGAGAGAGGGATGGAATGAGTAGCTAGTGAAGGGAGTTTGGAATAAAGATCCAAAACAGTGTCCTTAGTCTTGCCACTATTAAATTGGAGGAATCAGGTCCTGGATGTTGGATAAGTAGTTAGCATTTCGCAGCAGTGGGGGAATTAGAAAATGTTGGTAATGTAGAGCTAGATTTTGTCAATGATGTCATCTAAGGGCAGCATGTAGGTGAAACAGGAAATGGGATGGAGCTAAGGATACATCCTTGGAGCATCCTTCAAGGTAACGGTGCACGAGCAAGATGAGACCTCATTGTAAGTATTTCCCTGGCTATTGTTGGATGGAAGAACAGACTCGATGGCTGGACAACGGTGGACAGATATTGGAGGAGATTGATGTGGTCAGCAATATAGAAAGCTGCAGAGGGAAGGTGTCCATTGTCAGAATCTCGCAGGATTTCATTGCAAACTTTAATCAGAGCTGTTTTACTACAGTGGCAGAGTAGAGTGGAATAACGCCCAAGGATATGCAGCGTGGAACTAATTGGATGCTTCTTTTGAATTAAATCCCCTCCTATGCTGTAAAATTCAATGATCTTGCTCCATTCTATCAAATTGCCACATTTCCCTATCCTGAAGTCCTTGTTGGCATATGATTAGTTCCAAATTTTCAACATTTCAGCAGCTGAGATGATGAATGGATGTTGGCTGCTTCCCAGTGTGGAAGATCTGGAAAGTTTAGGGCAAGCATCCTAGATTTTTTGTAAGGCTTTCTATGTTGCCAAAAGCTTGGGAACTGCTTGGTTTCTGACTCCTCAACTTTAGACCAGCACACATCGGAGTGGAAACTTCCTTTGCAAAAATCAAGCGTAAGGTGGTTGCATACATCTGAAAGGTAAAAAAACTTTTCATGTCAAACAAGGCTCCATTTCCTTTTTAATTTAGTTATGAGAATGTGCAGAGTTGTGTTTCTTTATGCAGGTTTTCTGTGATGTTAATCTGAAGTTTACAGCCGTTCAAAGGACAGCATTACAATTTGCTCACATCACTGCTCCCCTTGGGGGATTGAAATGGTGTTGCCACAGTTACATTTCAAATTTATAAAGTCGCCATAGCTCCATCACCCTATACTCTCTTATTCGAGAAAGATGACTAGTGGGGTTTTAATCTAAGGGTCACCATACCTCAGGTGAGGGGAGAGGTTGAGAAGGAGGGTTGGTCCAGGAATTGAACCTACACTGTTGGAATCACTCTGCATCACAATCCCGCTGTCCAGCCAACTAAGCTAAGTGACCACCAATTTCAAATATATAACACCCCTTAAAGTTTTAGCAAAGATTTGTAGCTCGGGTTGTGGGTGAGGTTGTTGACTTGCCTGCCGAGCTGGCTTGTTTCCGTTCAGACACTTCATCACTATGCTGGGTAACATCATGATGACGTCCTATAGTCTGAACGAATATATAGCACCCTTTTTATTAACCGGCACCTATGGGACGAGAAGTGTCCAGATAATCAAGAAGTGCGCGTAACTGCTGTAAACCCTGACCAAGCGAAGCTTCAAGATGTCAACATTCCTCAAAAAATCTGTGTAAAAACATCAACATACCTCCTAATATCAATGTAAAAACATACAGTAAGGATTAGAGACGTAATGCAGGGGGTATACACGTCACTGATGTACTTTATTTACAGCATAAATACTCTGACATCGCAGTATTTGATTCTTGCCACTTTATCAAGAGTGCCAATTAAAATGAAGTTTGGTGTACTTGCAACAAAGAATTATTCTCTTTTGTATTAATTTTATTTGAGAATAAACTCCAGCTGCAGTGTTTCAGCATTCCTACAATTAATTATTCCCATTTAATGTGGGTTAATATAATCTTTCGCATTCTGAATGGCAATTTCTAGTGTCTAAGTTCTACAAGACAGGGGTTTTGTGATTTGCTTTGTTAAAATGAGTTGTAATTGTCAACAGATCTTTAGAATATAAGCCCCATGGCTGGTACCTATGGCACTGTGTGAAGTGTGGCATTGTTCCATTCCTTCGCTGTTCTGCCTTATTCTTCAACTACTTGCTTGGAGTACCACCTCCTGAGGAGCTGTCAAAGGGTAAGTGAAAAGGAATTTGCAGTTGTAACTGGGGGATATATAGTTTTTGGTGGATGTAATTTTGGACTTTTGTTTTCAAAGCTAGCAGTGACAAATCAGGAAAGCAAGGATATTAGAGAGAGGTGCAGACATCTTAAAGTAGTTCTGAAGAGGGATTTTAATGACCTGAGTATATACTGGGACAGTGGTAGTTTAAGGGACACGAGGAGCAAGTGTTCTTAGATTGCGTTTTAGGAAAGCTTCCAAACGGTATGTGTTCAGTACCACAAGAAAGGAGGCCCTACTAGATTTGGTCCTCAGAGCAAGTATCAGTGGAGAACAGTTAGGGGACAGTGATCATGTATCATAAGGTTTGGCATTAGCTGGGAAAGAAAAGTGAAACAATTTGAGAGTAAGAATAATCAACTGGCAGAGAGCCAATCTCAATGGGGCAAGAAGAGAGCTGAGCTGGATAGACTGCAACCAAAGGGGAAAAACAGCTGAGCAGTGGGACAAAAACAAAGTTGCTGGAAAAGCTCAGCAGGTCTGGCAGCATCTGTGAAGGAGAAAACAGAGTTAACGTTTCGGGTCCGGTGACCCATTACTTTCCAAAAAAAGACATGAGTCGGGCACAGTCAAACTACATTTCCTCAAAAGGTAAGGTAGGGCAGTCGCATTCAGAGATCCCTGAGTGACAAATGAGATATAATTTAAGTTCAAGAAGAAATCACATGCTCATAACAGGTTTGAGCTAGAAATACAAATGCGAACAAAGCCAAAATAAAAGCTTCAGAAAGCGAGTTGAAAAACAAGCAAGAGAAATGAAGAGAGATGATTATAAAAGACTGGTAGGCAACATAAAAGGAATCCCAAAGTCTCATTAGGCACATACAAGGCAAAAGGGTTGACAAAGGAGGAGTAGTGCTGATTATGGACCAAAAAAGGGATTTTATGTGTGGAGGAAGAGGCCTAAAGTGTTAAGTGAGTACTGTCTTTATATATGAGGCATATTGTATCAGGCCATGATGACAGAGAACGAAACTCCATCAGTAGAAGGGTTTAACATTGACAAAGAAAGAGGTATTAAACAAGTTGTCAGTACTTAAAGTTGATATGGCACTGGGATAGGATGAGATACAACCAAGGATATTGAATGAAGGGAGTGTAGACATTGAAGAGGCACATGATTTTTCAATTTTCGCTGGAGTTGGGGATGATGCAAAAAGGTTGGAGAATTGCAAGCAATTATACCCTTGTTCATAAAGGCTGAAAAGCTAAGTCCAACAATTTCGGACCAGTCATCTTAGAAACAATTATTTGGGATTGATTTAATAATGACATGGGAGTGGGTGGGTTAATTAGGAAGATCTTCAAATTAACATGAACTTTTTTGAAGTGGTAACAGAGAGATAATGACGCTAATGCTGTTGATATGGTGTACATGGACTTCCAAGACATGTTTGATATATGCCACACAATAAACTTGAGAAATTTTATAGGTCATGGAATAAAAGGGGCAGAGCAACATATTTACAAAATTGGTTGAGGAATAGGAAACGAAGTGTAATTAAAAGAGTATTTTTGGGCTACAGGGAGGTTTGTAGTGGAGTTCCCCAGGGGTCACTTTTGGGACTCTTGCTTTTCTAAAAGATCTGGATCCTGGTGTGAACAGAATATTTCTAAGTTTGGGGGAGATTTAAAAAAAAATATTTGGAGCTTTGTAAGCTATGATGAGGATGATGTAGAAATTTAAAAGGACTTTTAAAAAGTGGAGTGGATGGATAGGTGGCAGACGAAGTTCAATGCAGAGAACTGTGAGGTAGTTCACTTTGGTGCACATGGGCAGACAGTTTAAAATAAAGGGTGTACAGGAATAGTGAGACCTGGTTAAATATGTGCTAGGGGATAAATTCCAGAACTTAGGGCCTATTCAGCTGAGAGCTCAACAACCAAAGGTAGAGCGATGAAAGTCAGGACTGCGCAAGACTGGAATTAGAACAGTGACAGCATCCAGGAGAGGTTACTTATGTTAAAGTGTGGCCAGTCATCAAAATAGGTTCTCCTTCAATGCCTAGTAACTGTTTGCATTTCCAGAATTTTACTGTTTCAATATAACATAATTATTGGGTTTCACAGGATTCTAATCAAAATCTTCGACTTCTAGTTACCATCCCAACCTGGAATTATAATTTGCAGCTCCAACCAAGACATCTAATTTCTATACCAGAATTGTGAAAAAAGGAATTAGGAATCAAAATACTTGTATTTCTATAGTGCTGGAATAAATGAACACTTGGCTTTACATACTAGGGACTAAAAAAATGCAATTGCAATCATTAAGTCAGTCTGTGGGCTAGAGAAAACTGCAAAGCAATATTGATGAATTGGTGAAATGGGGAAAATTTTTGCAGATTGAATTCAATATTAATTAATGAGTAGGTGGATTTGTTCCACAGGAGGATGATAATATTTTGGTGTAAGTATTTAGGTTCACAAGACATTAAAAGTAGTAATGAAAATGATAAAGCCATGCAAATGTTTAATGCTTTGCTGGATTTAATGGAAAATCTACATAAAACTTTTCTGTCCACAGTTGGAGTACTGTATATAGTTTTGTAGCTATGTAGCTCCTCTGTACTAGAAGGATGTTGCGGCCTTGGCGAAACTACAGTACTGATTTCGTAGTTGGCTGTTTGATACAAGCAAATACAAGTAAAGCCTTGAAAATCTGGGGAATTATGGGGTGATATGACACAGATGTACTTTTCCCATTGTCAAGTGCTGAGGACCAAGGGAACATTTGACAATTAAATGTAAGATCTGATGAACAAGCAACAGGAGAAACTGTTTCTTTAGGGAGTGGGGCAGTTATGATTCTATGGATTGCACCAGTTGAGTTGATAATTGAGGCAACAACCATCTGAGCATTTAAGGATATGTGATTGAAGAAAAGGGGAATGAAAGGACCTGGGGGCAACCGTGGTATTGAGAGTATTTTAAGACTGGCATAGTTCATTGTTGGAATTTCTAGAAAATAGGCCGAAGGTTAGGATGAAGCCGCAGGCATAGTCAATAGGAAAGATTGTTATGAATGGCATGTGGAGCAATCTGAGTGTGAAGTGGCCAAAACACAGCAGCTTTGTCTCTGAATAAATAGACATTAATGAGATGTACAGTCAAGAGAGGCTAGTGCTCAGGGAATAGAGAGTGTGCAGCAACAACAAGGTGGCAATATTGTTGTCATTATGATGTTGAGGAACTTGAACAAATCAGAATAAACAAACTGTACATGATGAAACATTATAACTGTTGTATTGTAAAGCATGTATTGAATGATGTCAGCCGTTTGTGATTGGAGTTCTTAGATGTCATGGCAAAGTCATACGCTGCTTTAATTGCTTTTTGTATTAACACAGTTTTAATTTATATTTCATATATTCCAATTACCTGGGTCAGCTAATCAGTTGCCAACATTCATGTTGTTAAATCTGGTTCTATTATCCCAGATTCCCAAATCTGCTGCTGGGAAAAGCAGCATTAGCGTCTGGAATCCGAACTTAAATAGTGCTGATAGAAAAATAACTTGATTTTACAATGCTGTGCCAAACATTTGTTACACAAAGCTAGTTAAAATCTCCATTAAACCTCACCTACTAAGCCTTAAACAAGCTTTAGCGTTTTTTATAATGTGGAAGTTACTAGCTTCACACCTTAAATGAATCTTGCCTTTCTTTCTAGATTCCCCTGAAGGGAAATTTGAAGCCTTGTGTCTTTACTTGGCGTTGCCTACCAACCTTTTCAAACTTTTCCAGGAGCACAAGGACATATTATCTCCTTTGCTACAAAGGTAAGTACTGCTTCTGTGTTTGAAATAGTTTTAGGTCATTTAGAAAAGTCTGTAGCAAGGACAGAAGTGATGTTTAAAGCAAAGGTTCTCCTGCCCTAGGTGACATTCAATAGAAAGATTACACAAGAATGTGCAAGATTGGAGCAGTTAATCTGGTCAGCCCTCCTAATGATATGCATTGCATGCTAAGAATTAGTTCACAAATGTAAATTGGAACTGTGTTGTTAAAAATAATGTTTTTAGATGTATTTTTAAAAAGTAAGGCCTGTCTTCCTGCAGATTCCAACCATTACCTTGTCATTTCGAAGCCCCACATTCCTTCACCCAGCTTACCCGTGACCACCGCACTTTCAGGTTTTGCCAATACTGCTCCAAGTCTGCTCTATTAGGTCCCTAAGGTAGGAGGTTTGGTTTCCATTTGCCACTCTGTAGTAGTTAGCCAAGGCTGGGAGCTCAGTTATATAGGAACAACGAGACTACAGATGGTGTCAAACAGTTTCATCGTGTAAATTCAGTTCCATCCTTGTGTAAGTTGATGTTGACGAGCAAGCAACAGAACAAACAAGTATTGTGAAAATAACTCATGAGGCCGTCAAGGATTATTGAATGCTCTGAACCTCGATGAGGAACATTTGAGGGAGCAAGAAGATTATCTTGTGTAAGAGATGAAATTGAAGATTAACTGGGAGAGCAGATAGAACGATGGTATGGAATGAACTTGGGATGGTCAGATGGAACATAGGGACAGGAAGAGGCCAGTCAGCATATCAAACTTACTCCACTATTTAAGATTGTAATTCCAGAGATTCATAACCCGTTGAGTGATAAAATGTCTTCTCTTTCACCTATCCCTTTAAGTATTTTGTAAGTTTTAATTAGGTCACCTCTGATTCTTCAAAACTCTAGAGAATATAGGCCCAGTTCACCGAATCTCTACTCATAGGTCAATCCTGCCATCCCAGGCACAAGTCTGGTGAGCCGTCGTTGCACTCCCTGTATGAGAATAATATCTTTCCTGAGTTAATGAGACGAAAACCTCTCACGCGATTCCAGGTTCCTAACCAGGCTCAGACTTTACTACACCTATACTCAAATCCTTTAGTGATAAAGGCAAATATTCCTTTGGTCTTCCTTGTAGTTTGCTACAGCAAAGTAAGTAGTAACTCCACTGCATAGATAGTCATGGAGATTAATCTTTGAAGCTTTCTGTGGGCTTTTATGATCTACAGTTCTTTGGGAGGTAGGACTTCACGTAAGTATGAATTGGTTTAATTTTGTATCAAAACAAATTAAAAATGTGTTTGTTAGATAGCATACTCTGAATAAACCTAAATATTGTGGCCTTACAGTTAGTGCAGGCATATTCCTGGATCTTTGGGGCTTATACTAATTGACTCATTTGTTTTAGGTACTCATTGCACTGATCATATAAAAATAAGCTGCGGCAGCAAATGTTACAGCTTTATCACAAAATGCATTTTGTCATTAGCTTGAAACTGTCAACCGTTTTAAATTTGAAAAATTACTTGCCTGCAGATTTGTTTAATTAAAGTCTGTGAATTTTTTTGCAGATGGTGTTCTGATTCTTCAGTACAAAGCCTTCTCAAAGGAGAGCGAGCAACAGTCCGGTTAGTGATCTCTTAATGCTTCCTCTCTGATCTAGGTGTGTTCACCTTTATTCCCCCCTCTCTCTCAATCTTTTTCTTTATTTACTGCTCACTGAATTAGTTATTTTCTAAAATAAGAGCAGAAAAATGTGCTGATAAAGGGTTGCACATGGAAAAACTCTAACCCAGTTGATTCAGACATAAATTGACATGCTGTGTGTTTCCAGCATTTGGAAAATGCTTCTGTTTGTGTTTTTGTTTCCTTTTATCTTTACTCAATCATGTAAGAAGACAGCAGCACAATTAATTTAATCGTACTTTTGATATAGTAAAACATCCCAAACAGTTCACTGGAACATTATCTCACACAAATTCACACCAGTCCACAAAAAAAGTGATCTTGAAACATGTGATCACGAGCTTGGTCAAAGTTTTGGTCAAGCATTTTGAGGAGTGACTGAAAGGAGGGAAAAGAGACAAAGTGATTTCAGAGAATTCTAGAGACTAGCATCTGAAAAGCTGAAAATGGGACGACTGGCAATGGAATGAAGGAATTGAGGATTAAAGTTTGCCAGAATAGAGGAAGAGTGGGAATTTCAGACAGTTGTACAGCAAGCAGTTACAGGGGTGGGGGAGGCAAGGCTGTGGAGGGATTTGAATGTGAAGGTGAGAATCTTTTAAAACTAACAGCATAACATAGGAACAGGAGTAAGCCATGCAACCCATTGAGCCTGCTCCACCATTTAGTACAATCATGGCTGATCAAACACTTCAATTTCTTTTACCCACAATATTCCCTAAACTTTTACACCACTGATAATCAAAAGCTTGGCAATTTCTACTTTAAATATTGTTACACCTCACTTGGGTAGTGTTGGAAATCAAGCCCAGCTATTCCTGGAGTCACCACAAAAGTTAAAGATTGTTTAAAAATATGCAAAACTCCACAGTTTACCTGACTTTCAGACCCAGATTGATAGCACCAACCAGGTTTCTGATTAGAACAAGAATGACTATTATTAGATACAGGCAAGCAGTTATAAACCATCAATTCTTTATAAACTGCCCGTTACACACAGTCAGTGTCAAATGTGGAAAGAGGGCCAAATCTAGAAAGACAGTGCAGTAGTCTTTGTTATCAGGTGCTTTGGCGAGATGATCTTTGACTCTTCTTCTTCTGACTAGTGCGTTACTGTAATCATCTCTCTCCAGTCACTTCCACTGCTTGGTAAGAGACACAAGGTGTCTGCTTCACTTACAAAATGTCTCTGATTATCAGTTAAAACTCTCAGTTTACAACAACTATTGCAACTGGCTTTCTTCAGATTTACGTGAGCTTTCACTGCAAAGGACGGAGGGACTACTGCTGAGCTGGGAAAGAACTCTCTCTCTGTCTGTGTTTCTCTCTCTCTCCCCCTCTCCCCCTTTCCCTCCCGGCCTCCTCCCCCTCTTCCCCCCCTCCCCCCTGCATGCTCACAAAAATTCCCAAGTTCATCAAGCAATCTTTCCTATTTCCGAAACTATGCTGACTGTGCCCAAACAGATTATTTTTACCCAATGTCCATTGACCACATCCTCTAATATTTTCACTACTACTACTGATGTGAGGCTGACAGATCTGTGGTACCCTATTTTTTTCTCTTGCTCTTTTCTAGAATAGTAGGATGACGTATCAATGCTTCCAATATTTGAAAGAATCATTCCTGAATCTATGGAACTTTGGATGATGGTTGCCAATGCATTGACTGTCTCTGTAGCCACCTCCAGCTTGTTCAACACTCTGGGGGATTATAGACTACTGTGGA